AAGTGAGCTTAGGGTGGAAGATCCTTGAGGACCCCTTGTCTTACTGAGATTTCTTGTTTAGAGATCTCACCCCACGTTTAGGGACGCTTAATTCAGGTTCAGGCAATTTGGGGGCTGATGCCTCTGGCGGCAGGAGGCCGGAGCTGAGTTAGATTATGTTGTTATCATGTTATTATGCTGTATGCTGACATGATGTGGACTTGGTTGCTGTTTATGTTCCCTGTCATTTATGATTATTGAGTGGAGACTGCTGTTGGGCTTGTGCCTTATTTGGTGAGCATGGGGTTTGTCCATGCCACTTTGATTTCCGTTTGGTTTAAGTTTATCTGTGTTGTATAAACTACTAGATGGTCCGGCCTACGTGTTGTAGTTCCGCGACTAGAGACATATTTATGATATTAATTAATGATGTATTTCAGTTAGCTGTCTTTTGCAATATTCATACAGGCGATGTTTTTATGAAAATGATTAAGTAATCAACTTGGCTAAGTATAATGACGTCATAATTGAAAAGAAAAAGATATTCTGCATTTTTAAATTAAGCGTGGCTTAATACGATGACATGTTAACAAACCGGGTTAACACGAGATGTTACATTTTATGCTATCAGAGCAAAGGTTCTAAGGAAAAGCCTGTATGTATTGCATAACTTAAGATGCTTGGTTGTATCTGTCTTGTGTGTTTGCTCCGTTGAGTGTTATTATGATGATGCAAATGTGATCACATTGCGTGGGCCTGATCAACTCATAATGTGTGTAACTTCTGCAAAGTCATGGTAATACCCAGGAGAACCCGCTAAACTGTTGAGGGTCAACCCGACCCGATTCTGATTGCATTGGCTGAGATGCAGGAGGCCACTAGATTGGCCAACGTGGCAATGATGGACGCCGTAAGAGAGGCGAACCAGAAGGCCACGGAGGATGCTCTTGAGGCAAATCGGCTGGCGAACATGACCTTGATGAGGGTTATGTTGGAGGAGATGAGGGTTGGTTCTGCTGTTGGCCAGTATCCTCCGCCACCACCTCCACCGCCACCGCCGCCGCCGCCTCGACCTAGTGTTCAGGTTGAGAGCCTGAGTCACATTGGTAGTGCTATTCATGTCACTGGGGTGATGGAACCCTATTTTGAGCCTGCTGAGGACCGTGACGTGATTGATCGTCGATTGAATGCCTTCCGCAAGCATAATCCACCTTCCTTCGACGGGTCACTTGATCCTATTTTTGCTGCTAGATGGCTGCAAGCATTGGAGAAGATCTTCCGGGTCATGCAGTGTATGGACCCGCAGAAGCTGATGTTTGCCACATACATGCTGGAGGGCGATGTACACGAGTGGTGGGTGAACACCTCTCAGGCTTATGAGATGCAGGGTCATGTTATGATGTGGCCATTCTTCGAGGATTGCTTTTTGGGCAGATGCTTCCCTTACGATGCGCAGGAGAGGAAGCAGGGGGAGTTTGATAGATTGGTTTAGGGCTCGATGTCTGTTGACGAGTACCTGGCCAAGTTTAATGAACTTGTGAAGTTCGCTCACTTTCGGATGGCGGCACCCACTCTGATGTCTTTGGCTGCTAAGTTTCGCAGGGGACTTAGTGAGGTGATTGCGGAGCATATTGCTGGAGCTGCATCGAGGGACTTCGGTACACTGGTGCAGCAGTGTAAGGACATCGAGGATGTCTGTATCACGAGTAAGGCCAAGAAAGCCAAGGTTGCTGACTTGAAGGGAACTGGTAGTCCACTTCCTGGAAGGACAAGAAGTTTGCTGGTCAGGGCAAAGAAAAGCAGTTGGCGTCTAAGCAAGCGCCAAATCAGTTCTAGGGGACTACGACTCAGGGGAGTACAACGAGACGTCCTCCTCCCAGATGCTCGGGATGTGGGAAGTTTCATTTGGGGCCGTCTGCTAACGGTCAGACTAAATGTTTTCAGGGTGGCAAGGATGGCCACTTTGCTAGAGAGTGTCCGTCGTCGACGGCGAGGGCTGCAGCTGTTCGTGCAGTTCCATTACAGATGGTTCCCCTTCCACCTACAGCGGCACCAGATGTGCCACCTGCCACGGGGCGAGTTTACACAATAGATCGGCAGCAGCCGGACCGAGCTCCGAACCTTGTCAGAGGTACTGTTTCCATTGGTGGAATTGTGGTTGATGTTTTGTTTGATTCTGGGGCTATGCATTCGTTTGTGGCAACGCCGATTGCTTTGGGGCTTGAGCTGCCCATGTTTGTGCTTCTCTACCGATGCGGGTGACTACCGGCACCGGAGAAAAGTGTGATGCTACCACTGTACATCGAGATGTCGTGTTTCAGTGGGAGGGCCGTGACTTCTCGGTAGATCTAGTAGGATTGCCGATGGCTAATTTGAAAATCATCCTTGGCAAGGATTGGTTGTCCAAGTATTATTTTTTTGATTGATTGGTTATTGTGCCTAGCGAGTGGTGATGTCTCCGTGTGATTCCATAGCCAGTTCCTCGCCTTATATATCTTTTTACAGGCAAGGAGAACCTTGAGAGCAGGGGCATTCAGATATGTCTGTTGGGAGGTTGGGTGAGTGGGACACAGGAGGATCTCACTGGCAGTCCTGTGGTGAAGGAATTCCTAGAGGTGTGTCTGAAGGAGATTCCTGAGTTCTGCCACAGCGGGAGATAGAGTTCTCCATTGAATTGTTGCCTAGTGTGGGGCCTTGTTATTAGCTCCATACCGGATGTCACCACCAGAGTTGGCTGAGTTGAAGTAGCGTTCTGAGGGTCTTTCGGCGAAAGACTTAAATCGACCTAGCGTGTCTCCTTGGGAGCACCGATCATTTTTGTTGTAAGGTAAGATGCCTTACGCCATTACTTAAGCGTGATGGTGCTCTGTTTGAGGATGTGAAATTCTCTTCAGGAAACTGAGTGTGTAACACTTGGAATTTGTGGCAAAGCCACGCGTGTTCTTGTATATGCGAGTTTTGTGCATGTTCAAGTAGATTGTGAGTTGAGTGGTCTCCATGACTCTAGGTTCGTATGTTGATTATTGATATGCTTAATAAGTAGTTGGCATGTCAACACCATGGGCAGTGTAAAGCATTAAATAAGTACGATAAATTTTGGTAATGTATCAATGTCATTTCACCTTTATATGACTTCGATTTTGCAGATGCCATGGAGAGTGAGGTATAATATTGCATAGAGTACTTGATTTATTATGTTATTAAAATTAAAAATTTTGCAGGTGTACGTGAACTAAGGTACGGTACTATGTGATGTATAAACTACTAGATGGTCCGGCCTACGTGTTGTAGTTCCGTGACTAGAGACATATTTATGATATTAATTAATGATGTATTTCAGTTAGCTGTCTTTTGTAATATTCATACATGCGATGTTTTTATGAAAATGATTAAGTAATCAACTTGGCTAAGTATAATGACGTCATAATTGAAAAGAAAAAGATATTCCGCATTTTTAAATTAAGCGTGGTTTAATACGATGACATGTTAACAAACCGGATTAACACGAGGTGTTACACCAGACTTCAAGACTGAATACAATCATTAAAGTCTTGCTTGCTACGCCAGTTAGGTTCCCCTCCCCCAAACTTCTCACTCGAATGAAGATAGAAGTTAAAATCACCCATAAGCATCCACGACAAAGTAATTGAATTCCGCCACTGGCTAAGACTCTCCCAGAGCTGCCTTCTCTCTTGTCTTCGAGGACTACCATAGACAAAAGTGATAAATTCCTCTTTATGCTCATTGACCCAGGAAACTCTGGTATGAATAAATTGGAAATGAGACTGCACTATCTCAATCTTGACAATAGATGAATCCCAAAGCAACTATATTCCTCCCGAAAAGCCTACTGCATTATGATGAAAATAGTTTGGTAGTCCTAGGTTACGAATAACCTTAGTTGCACGATGACCACTTATTCTAGGTTCTAATAAGCAACAGACTTTAATCTGAAATTTACTAATAAGATCTCGAACAAGGGGACAGAAACCTTTCCTCCCAGCCCCTCTAACATTCCATGAGAAAACTATCATCAAAAAACAAAAGAAGATAATGAGGAACAAAGAGCATGAGCTCATCATTAAGACATATCTGCATCCACTTTGGCACCACCAATCGCGGTGGTATTCCCCAACAAATTGACATCCTTATTACTTATCTTGCTCTTCACCACTGGATTAATGGCATCGGGGGGTTTGTTTTTATGAACCCCTTCTCCACCTATCCCCTTTTCTTTTTCTCCATTAGGTTTTGATTTGATCAAAGTTGCCGCAATACTCTTACCCCCAGCACCTGACTGACCCCATACATTGTTGTCGAGAACTACTAGTATTCTTCATGATATGGGATTTGGATTTTAGGGCAAGGGATAGAGATCCACATATATTTTTGTTATTTTGCTTGGTCAAATCGGGTTGACTTGAAACTTTAGTGACATGTGGGCCTTCCTTAGGAACTATAGTTCTTCCACTTGACTTCTCACTGGTCTTTTTTAATTCCTTCACGTGGTTCTGCACACCACCCTCTTTATTACAATCTGTCGTAATGCCATCTGTGACTGTTTCATCGTCCATACCATCTGTAACTGTTCCGAGGGCATCAAATCGTGATCCCCCAATCATAGGATTCTTATTATGGGCCTCCTCATTCTTCTTTAATGCGCTCGTAGCCGTTTCTCTCTCTTTGGTAAACGGCTACTCCCTGATTATTTCCTTTAATTTGGTCTTCGAATTATTGGCATTCATTTGCCTTGAATGAGAGACTGTTTCCGTTACATTACGAGATATGATTGTCGGGGGTTGTGTAACGTTCTCCGGTGAGACCCTTGCCCTGTGACCTCTTGCCGGTTTCTGCACAATCATCCAGCTGCCAAAAGCATTATTTTCATCTGCCATTTCCTGCCTGGAGCTTCCCTGCACAGTATGTGTTGTTTTTGGTGACTGATGCTGATCAGCAGGTTCAACAGTATGAGCATTACTTCCACATTGATCCTTACGATGTCCATATTTCCCACATGCAAATCATATAAGGTGAAGACCCTCATAAGCTACATGGAAAGTATGCTCCGCGATATTAAACTTTGAAAGGAAACCCTTCCTAAGATCCGCTTCAACACAAATGCGAGCAAATTTAGCTCTTGCTGTAGTTTCTCCATCCCCTGAGTCCCTTCTACGAATTGAATTATGATCAATTTTCAAAGTCTTTCCAAATAGATTGCCTATTTGCCACAAGTGTTGTGTTGTGTAGAATTCAATGGGCAATCCTGGAATCCTAATCCAAACTGCTAGTTTTCTGAACGTCTCATCATATGGATCAAAAAATGGTCTCCATTGTTGGACAACCACATAGTGATCAACTATGATCCAAGGCCTTTCTTGAAGTACATGAGTATAATCTTCTTCATCTGCAAATCTCACTAGCAAGTAACCATTCTCCATATCAATGAACTCATGCACTCCTTTCAGACTCCACATCCTTTCAAGTCTTGCTATGAAGAATTTGATTCCCACTCGTTTCCCAAGCAACTTGACAATCAAAGCTCGTCTCCATTGTTTGCAAACCTCCTTATGCAATTCCTGCGAATAATGATAACTAGGACAAAGCGGATCATTGTCTGCCTCATCTAAAGCAATTTCCTCCATCACATCGTCCTTTTCTCCATCATCCCACTACTCAGATGTGCAGTCTTCCTTTTCACCCTCAGCTTCTTCCCATCCACCATTTAACTGCAGAAGAGTATCTTTGTATGAAACAACTTTTCGTCCTTGAGACAAGATTGGAATATGACTTCCAGTCTCCACAGCTCCAACCTTTCCCACAGATCCAACTTTTGGTTTTAAAGTACTCCGCTGGAGGAGATCATTCTCCTCCGCCGTTATCGACGGTTTACTTCCGCTCATGCTCTCTCAGTTTTCTCAGCTCCTTTTTGGTTTTTTTTTTTACTCTTAAAGCTGTATTTCTTTGAAGTGTTTATGTGCTATTGTTTTGCCAAATTTTGAATCAAGAACTTTAAACCTTATAAGCATGACTCAAAAACAGTGAAGAATGCAGATTTAGCAATAATTACCAAAATGTCATTTAAAATAAAGTAAGTAACTAATATCTTAAAGGCATCAAGTAATCATCAAAAGAGTTCATATAATATCAAAGAAATAATGTATGGTATCAGAGCATAAATGTCAAATGAACTACAACTTGTGGAGTATTCAAAAGTCATGAAATTGTAACTTGAGACAAAGATTAAGGAAATTGTGTCAAGAACACTATCTTACTAGGATTTTTCAAAATCTCTCACTTTCAAAGTATAGATTTAAACACCACACCAAAAAAAAGAAGAAGTAGATTTAAACAAGACATATTTTTTACAAATTTAAAATACAAATTCAAAACCATTTAACTAGGTGACTCGGTCAACAGCTGGACCGTGCAATCAATTGGAGTGATCTTGAAAAGTTTCGTGCCAATTTGTTTGGGTACTAGAATACAGTGATTAGGTGAGAGCCGGACAAGACAAATTAAAATGCTGGATTTTGTGTCCACAATTAATGATGATGCTTCATATTCTATAATATACCGTAAAATTTAAAGTAGTCAAATCAATCACGAGATCTTCACCACAAGATTCGCTCGTTGTATCCTTGTGGTGGTATTGTGGTGGTATGGGCTCCATTCAATTAGCTAGTGTTTGGTTGGTGAGAAGTGTAAATTTTGATGGCTAACTGCATGTGGGTATCTGTCATAATCATGTTTGGTTGAAGGTTTTGAGTTGATTTTCCCATCTAAGAGCGTTGGCTAGCAAACGAGGAAGATGACCAAAAATTGGAGAATGACACTGTTGAGAAAGCCGTTTGACCATGTGGAATTGTAGAACAAAATCAGATAAATTGGAGAAGGGCACTGTTGAGAAAGCCGTTTGACACATTATTTATTGTGGTTCGAAAGATGTAATAAAACGTAGGTGTTTTTACGAGGATATTTTTGTAATTTCATTAAATTTTCCAATCAATATTTTATCTTCAACCAAACACACATTCAGAAATTTAATTCAATTTTTCTGGTAAAATTTTGTCCCACCAAACAACTTTTTTACAACTTTCCTATCTAACTCATTTTTCCTCCCGATCCTTAGTATTTACATTTTCCTAGTATTAAAAAATTTCTCCCCAACCAAACACTACCTTAAAGTGGCCATGGATTCGGTTTTAAAAGGAATCCATTCGATATGGTCTAGGTAGCACGGGCACGCAAATATTTTGAAAATTTGCGTGTCGGACACGTGTCCGACACGGATACATTCCGACACGCTCGGACACGTGTTCGACACGCGGTCAACATTTGGGGACACGCGGTCAACTCTCCGACACGTTTTTTCGACACGCAGTCAACTTTTTTCGACACGCGGCCAACGCTCGGACATGTGTTTTTTTTTTTTTTTTTAAATCTTAATTTTATTTTGTTAACTAAATATAAAAGAAATAATTTATAAATTGATTTTTTTCTATTATGAAATTTGACATGAAAAATTAATAAAGTATGAAAAATTATTTATATTTATATTTATGTTATGAAATTTAAATATTTGATTGGTTATATGACTTATTATGGACTCTTATATGTATTAAATATAAATTATATTAAATATAAATTATATTAAATATATTAAAATTTTTATTTAATATCAAAACGTGTCCCAACGTGTCCAAATATGATATTTTTTAGAATTAACGTGTCGGCGTGTCGACGTGTCGGCGTGTCGTGTCGTGTCGTGTCGTGTCCCGTGTCCGTGCATAATTGGATATGGTAATTACCTTTTCATAAACTAACACTTTTATTAATTAACAAGCATATCAGAAGACACATGTTATGTATGAATAAAATTAAATAATTAGGGGTAATTATCAACTGCCTAAGCACTCCTTAACTTCAAATTGCAAGTGAAATCACTCTTTTAATATATAAGACACGTGTTATGTATGAATCACATTTTTTTCCCGTAACAAAGTATGAATCAAAATTAAGTATTCAACAATAATTTTTTTAGTAGATACGATTAATTTTTAATAATTATCACCAAAGTTACTTTTCTACCTTGCATGGATCATTCTGCCTTCTGGTCTGTATGTGCATTTTTGTACAAATTTGAATCTATTGATATTTAGTAATTTATAATTATGTGAAATAATATTTAATTTACTAGTGATTAAAATCAATAACGTAAATGATTGAAATGTTATAATTTTAGTAATAATAAATCAAAGAGTTTAATTTTTGTTTTCTGTTATTATAAGATAATTATACTTATATTCAATAATATATTAATACATGATTTTAATGAATCTAACACTTTATATATTAATTATATAATAAAAAAATTAATTATAAATCCAAATATTATAATGAATATTATTATCGCTACACTATTACATAATACTTTTTAGGGCTTAAAATTTGCTTGGTCCTCAAGGTAGGATAAATTTTTAGCTCTCCTATATACTACACATATTTAAATTGTAATACTAACACATGAAAAATGAAGAAAATGAGTGTATTACATCACACGGATTCATGTGAAATGAAAAACGGAGAAAATGAATGTAGTAAAAAAAACACTTAAAATTTAGGGTTTAGTGTGTGTCGTTTAAAAAGACACAAGTTGTGTCCTTTTAGTGATTTACACAGTCGTACTCTGTGTAATTTTGAAAAGTTATTTTTTTTTTACTTTACACATCAGCGATATGACTTGAAAGAGAGAAAAAAAAAAACTTTTCAGTTTTACACAAAGTACGACCGGTAGTAATTTGTATAAAATACCTAAAATGACACAAGTTTCTCTCGTTCAAAGATACTTCATTTTCCCTGAAATTTATCCCCGACATCTCAAAGTTGAGTGAGAAATAGAATAGGCTGATTCGAGTTGGTAGGGTCATTTTGGCAATGAATTTCTCACTACTAAATTTTTATTTAGTGTTTCAAACTCAAGATAATTGATTAAGCTGATGTACATAATTGGTAGTAAACTCTTTAGTCTATAAAAAAACAAATTTCATATTCACATAGTGAGCAGACCATTTCTTTCTCGAGCACTAGCAAGTTGAAAAGCTCACCCATGACAAGTGTCTCATTGGTATCAGCTGCTGCAAGAAGGTAAAGGAAGTTGCAATTTCATTTTTTTTTCTTCTTCTTTTTTTGCGTAGTCTTATAGAATTGTATGCTATCTAACACATGCCATGTCCAAATGATTTTTACAAGGCTTGAAGGGAAGGTGGCATTGATCACTGGTGGTGCTAGCGGTATAGGTGAAGCCACTGCAAGACTCTTCTCTAAGCACGGAGCTGAAGTGGTGATAGCTGATGTTCAAGATGATTTGGGTTACTCTGTTTGCAAAGATTTGGAATCCTCATCCTCTGCTTCCTATGTACACTGTGACGTGACAAAGGAAAACGAAGTTGAAAATGCTGTGAACACTGCGGTTTCTAAGTATGGAAAACTAGATATCATGTTTAACAACGCTGGTGTAACTGGTGTGAACAAAACCAACATAGTTGAAACCAAGAAATCTGAATTTGAGGAAGTGATTAGTGTTAACTTGGTTGGTGTCTTTCTGGGAACAAAGCATGCTGCAAGGGTCATGATTCCTGCTAGAAGGGGAAGCATAATTACAACAGCTAGTATTTGTGGAAGCATTGGTGGCGTGGCTTCACATGGTTACACAAGTTCAAAGCATGCTGTTGTGGGACTCATGAGAAACACTGCGGTGGAGCTTGGAGCATTCGGTATTCGGGTGAATTGTGTGTCCCCTTATTTGGTTGCAACACCGTTGGCTAAGGATTTCTTTAAGCTTGATGATGAGGGAGTTCATGGGGTTTATTCCAATCTGAAAGGTACTGATCTTGTGCCAAAAGATGTGGCTGAAGCTGCTCTTTACTTGGGAAGTGATGAGTCCAAGTATGTTAGTGGTCACAATCTTGTGATAGATGGTGGGTTCACAGTTGTAAACCCTGGATTGTGTGTTTTTGGACAATCTGTGTAAAAATTGCCTCCATCTATCTGCATGCATCTCCTTGAGCAATTAATTGTTGATGTTTTCAGTGTTTGTATCAGGGTTTTATCGGCTAGTATCTATATATCTGGTTTGTTTGTTTTAGTGTTGGTATTAATAAAATTTATTTTGTTTTAATCAAATAAGCCCATAAAACTAGGGTTCTGTTGTATGCATGTCTTTGAAATTTGAACCACTGTTGATGTTTTCAGTGTTTGTATCTGGCTTGTTTTGGCTATTATCAAAAGAATGGTGCTTCGTGACTCTGTTTTAAAAACTCTGCATTTTTTAAGCTTTAGTTGTCAGCATGTGAGTTTAGCACTTGTATCTCACAATAGTTGTTGGAATATTTAAGTGTGAAAAGTTTTACATTGGTCGGTAATGGGCTAAGTGAAGTTCATATAAGTAAGAGAATCCATGAACTTAATGTTTTAATGTTTTGGGTTGAAATATGGTGTTGAATCCACTTGATATGGTGGTGTAGCCTTAGCCCATCAGTGGTAGTCTCCCGTTTGATTCGAGTGGAAGGGTTGTCGCTCAACGGAGAAAAGTTGGCTTTTTGAACCTTATAACCCTTTATTATTAATTAATTATCGATTTGAC